AACGAAAGCTTATGGTGTGTAGAATAAAGCAGTTGCAAAACTAAATGTTAGTGTTCTACAAGCTTTCAATTCAGTGAAATCAAGTCACCAAAAATAGCTTCCTTTGTTGGTTATGACTCATTTGTTTCTGTTTATGTCCACACCAACCTTCATCTCCTAGTCACTATCATATTCCCACTTCAAAATTAGGTGTGTAACGAGGAAAGCATCACAATTTGAGACATGATTTGATCAACAAACGAGTGAACAGCTAATCGAATGTTCCAATATCCCTAATTACTCACCTAAAAATCTCACTTATCAAATACGTCAAACGACAAGCGAAAATTACCCACTTAAGTAAATATTGCTATCGTTCTTAGATATTGTTTAATGGAAGAAGCATTTACCAACCTTGTCTCACTTCATATCTATCAACAACTGGATCAAATAGTTCAATATGATTTATGAATGTGATCAGCATCGACTTTTGAATGGCACGATACTCGAATATAGTGTGTGTTGGAGAGAGTGTTGGAAGTGGAAGGGAGGTCAATTTATGAATTCAGTAGGATGGATCGATTAGAACGGAGATGTATCATAGTGCAGAATAACATTGTCAGATATTACTTAGAAAACATGATGGTCGCAATCACCATCAGAAAGATAATGCCAAATTAAATAATCACATCTATTACCCTACTGTTCTCACAACAACAACAAGTGCCTATTGTTATATGATGATGATGTTCAATTCTGTAATCTGTTTCGTTGCCACCACTGACTGACGGACTGACTGACTGTTCGTCTGTCGGAATGAATGAATGAATGAACGAATGAATGAATGAATGAATGAATGAATGAATGAATGTATAAATGAACGAACGAATGACTGTCACATGAACCGAATCGTCTTCAGCCCTTTCCTACTCTCTCGCAACATGCGTATATTCATGCATCGTGATCAAGCAGCATCCTGATGATAAGCAGCAAATATATAGCTGCCCATTCCACTAACACTTCACTGATCAACACACGCAAATCAGACCACATCACATCATATAACACCACACCAAACCACACCAAACCACACAACACCACACCACACTTGCCAACTCAGAGAAAACGGATGGAGTGTTGTAGTAATTGATTAGGTTGTTTATTTATCAGAAATATCTTAACACAATTGCGTGTGGATTTTTATCGATAGATTATGTACACACATGTATGAAGGATACGAGTTGGTCGGGGAATTGTTCAAACATTGTCGAAATGTTGTTCAAATATTGGAGCGTACAAAATCCAACATTCTAGCCACACTGGCATACTCGACAATGATATCGGGAAGGTTTGGCAGTGTGACACCATGTGATACGACACCGAGTACTGGACCTTGAGGGGATGGAAGGAGAGGTCCACCACTGTCACCTGGAGCGGGTAACTGTCCGAAATTCTGACCTGATTTCACACAAATAGGATCGCCATTGGTCGCGTGTCGGCATTCCATTATAGTCGCTCGACCTGTGTCAAATAAAGAACAGAACAGAATAGGACAGAATAGAACAGAACAGAATGAAAAGAACAGAACAGAACAGAACAGACAAGTGAATTTACAAAACATCAACTGACACTAATTATCCACCTTCAAACTATGCTCACAACAAACACTCCACATGCAATCCCACATGTGCACCACATTCGAAATCAAGTCACTGTCCATCTCACCATTATCCCTCCATATACATGAAACTGATTGACCATCTACTTCATGTACAACAACACACAACCATCGTTTGCACAGATATCTCATGAGTCTTCTCTCATCCAAGTGATCTCACTCACACAATCATTCAATCACTCACTCACTCACCCACTCACTCACTCACTCACTCACTCACTCAATCAATCAATCAATCAATCAATTAATCAATCACACATCCCATCCCATCACATTCCATCGCATCACACCTATCTAATGACAGAGATGCAGATTGAGTCACTCTGCTAGTGAACTGTCACTGGCACATCCGAACACAGTTATAGAGGCTCTGACCAACACAACAACCGGATCAGATAGATAGATGTTGCTTGTTCACCAACACCACCAACTCACTCACCTTTCTTTAAAATTCCACCATTTCTACGTTGTGGATCACGGTCATTATCATCCCTTCCATAACCAACAATGAAAACCGGAGTTCCAGGTCTCGGTATATCCGTTGGCTGTGGCAGACTGAGCACTCTGATTCCACTCTGTAAGTTGACCGTTTGGGTGAGCGTTATAATTGCAATGTCGAATCCACTGAGTGTCTGTTGGATTGGTCTCCTCTGTCGTGCTGACATACAAGAGGGCATATATCCTGGTGCTACCACCACTCCAGACGGTTGATGATGGATGCCTTGTTGGTCGCCATTCCTCAGTGTGAGAAATGAAACCTGAAATACACAACGTATGTTCACATTAGATCTATGCAAACCGACTGCACACACACACACACACACTGACACACACGCACACTCACACAGAAACACACTGTGAAATAATTCGATCACATTGAGCAACAATGTGTTTCAGCGTGATCTCTTACCCGAACGACTGGCAGCGGTGAGCAAACACAATGACCAGCTGTGAGCACTGCCCTTGTTGACACTAGTGAGCCTGTACACATTGTGTTCTCTGTCGTCACAAATGCGATGAACGGGAATTCAGTGCGTTGTTGCACAGGTTCACCACTACGTATCAACCATGTTGACACACGTTCAACTGTTAGACAGTAGGTGAACAGCGTCACCACCAGAAATCTCCATCGGTTCAACATCACTATGTGACCGTTGCAATCAACCACCTACCTACAATCTCGCAACACATTCACCAATTTATATGCGTCAATAGTCCCTGACTGTTGAGTACATGTGAGTGATTTTGCATGTGTGTCAGTGTCAGTGTCAGTGTCAGTGTACTACAATTAGGCACTATTAATAAAACCGACTTGCACTCCACTTCAATCATGCATTGTTGTTGTTGTTGTTGTTGTTATCGTCGTCGTCGTCACGGTTTCGCTTTGTGATCATGGTCATGACACGCCCCAATTATTAATGGGGAAGTGCACGATTCTCGTGTGTTGTCGTGGCATATTTCGCCGTATGACAATCTTGCTCAACCGTTCACGAGAGTATGTCAGCATAAGGAGTAGCACAGCACTCTTCATAAACCACATCATCATCATCATCATCATCATCATCACCATCGTCTTCGTTAGAATCATATCATCACAGGAGTGTGGTGACATGATGCATGATCACTGTCAATCACAATCCATTCACAAACTACAACGAATCAAATGTGAATTGGTGGAATTTCTGCGAGTTGGACAAGTTGGAAAAACAATGGGAAAGAAGATGCAAATGATGCTTCGAAGTAATATGCGAGCACATTGACGAATCGACTGGTAGACAGAAGGAAAGCATGCGTGTATGATAAATGGATTGTGAGAATGGGAACAAAGTGGATGAGGAGATCACAGTAGTTGTATATGACATATGTATATGGTTTAATCAGACCAGATGTGGTTGGTATTTATTGATTGACCGGCTACTCAGTTGTTGTTTAGCATTGCTACAATCGAAATAATAATAATTTGATTGTGGCAGTGAGAGTGGAGTGAGATTTTAAGGAGTGAATAATGCCACTTATTTGGTAGTGCATGATGTAAACACTGTAAGATATTGTACTACGGTGTGTGGTGTGGGGCAATTGTTTTCGGTGTGTAACTGCCTCTCACTGGTAATTACTTTAGATTGTCTAATTTCACTGGTATTCCAATGTAACATCAAGCTACCATGGTGGTATATTCATGCAAAAGTTGATTGGGTATTGTGTCTTCGGTACAATACGAGCTTCCCAGATCTTTCTTAAATTCACTCTTAGCCGTCATTATGATCATGTTATATTTAGAATGTTGATCTGTTTTTAAGATGTTGGCCAGACTAGGAAATTCGTGGTCTGCTCTAGAAACTCTCAAGGAACAAACATTGTGTTTATTCATTCAGATTGTTTGGTGTAGCTAATTAAGCTGCAAGGCTTAACTTCAAAGCCGAGGCTTTCAGTTATTTCATAGCCTGATTCATTCTAATCTAGTACCAGTCTAGAAAACTAGCAGACATTTGTCAGGTAGAATAGCATTTGGGTCTGTGTGGAAAGAAGGAACCTTACTTTTCCTTTGATCTTTTTGATCGGATCGTATGATGGTGTTAACAAAATACACACGTCACCTACTCTCGCATATAATTATCGACTTAATTCACTTTAGAAAATGATGGAATTAATTAAGTCATATACAAGAAAGGATTTCGAACACATGCTTCCAGACAACAGTTGATCCAGACAGACAGTCAGAGAAACGAATCGAAGATGCGCGAGACGAGACAAAATGATGCAATGACTCGACATTCATGCTCAAACGGCACTAAATTACAGTCACACGATGAATAGAGTGGGCAAACAACACACGTATCATCATATTAAAAACAGTCAGGGTCAGTAAGCCAATCAGTGACAAGATGAAAATGCAGTTTGAGAAGAATTGTCGATTTGGGCTTGACATGGTATCAGCCACTACATATCTCCCTATAGAAAATGCGGATAATTATGAGACAAGTTTACGCTAACTATCCCCACAAGCTCAAAATAGATAATGAGTAGTGTGGCAAAGAGACAAGCATTTGATAAGATACTAAATGACAGACAAATACGATAACACACAAGGTAATAGAAATAGGACGTGGATATGTGCTGAGATTCATAATTTTCTATAGACACAAGAGTTCTCATGAGGGTTAAATTGATTTAGTGTTGCATGATGTTTTAGTTGATTAAGGTATGTTAATAGCTAGAATGAGTCGCGTGTGTATATTACTACTACATTGCAAAATGACGTAGCGTGAGTAAGACGAGGCTGCCTCAAGTATGACGCACCTCCAATCAATGAACTCTTTTCGTCGCACTTTTTTAATCTTAACGAATGGAAACGGAGCGATCCCCGTCCATTGGTAATATTTAGTATCGGGATCATGTTATGAACAATGTAATAATTGTGATCGGCTTTAGATATACTTCACTGACTCTAGAAGAATTCTCCTCGTTGACACTAACGTAGTTGAGATAGTAGATTCAATAGATAAGGCACGCTAGAAAGCCAACCTTCATTAAAGAGTTGCGTTAAAGACTGGTCAGACAAAATGCAGTAGACACAGCTGCCTTAGTGACAAAGAAAATGGGAACATCGATCAACATGTTCATATTTCTATGGGATTGAAAACAAGTATTTCATCAGAACACTTTCAAGATAAAATCACTCGGGTTACTAGTAAAGTTTTGAAAATAACTAACGGGGAAATAAAATCACATAGTCACATGCCTCTCAACTTTGGGGGAAATTTGTCCCATTTTGGGGAAGCCGCTATAGTAGCCTTTGAGGAAATGGCACTAAAACCCCAAAATTTCCCCAGACCTGGAGAATTTCTCCAATATTTCCCCAAAATTCCCCTTTAACCTTGGTCAAGGTCATTTGGCTTTGGGAGTTTCACCCAAAACCCCGAAATTTCCCCAAACTTGGAGGATTGGTTCGATTTCTAAAACCGATTGCAATACGAAGTGGCAACTGATTTTGGAGTCCACTCGTCAAAGATGGTTCAAATGGTTCAAATGGTTGTGGACGGAATAGAAAAGGCTTTCGCTTAACAGGCTTCCGTGTCTAGTATCGGGGGATCGCCAAAACCTCCAGGCAGGAATCTAGGTATGTTAACAATAAAAGAGGAAAAATAAATTAGTAAATCACAGTGTGATGCTATCCTTAGTCCTTAGGAATAGATCAAGTTGCCTCTTAGGAGACACCTGGGAAGTCGCTTGGACTGGCTCGGCTGGCAGCGAATTCCAGCATTTGACAACTCTTAAGGAGTAGAAGTTGTGTCTACAGTCCGTTCTGCCATGTTGTGTCTCCAGTTTCTGGGTGTTACCCCTTAGTTTAGTGTTCAAACTAAGCTTAAGTAGGTCTTTAAGAGAATATCCAGAAGTGTTAAGAATACTATAAGCCATCAATAGATCACCTCTGAGACGCCTATACTCCAATGGGTAAAGGTCTAGTGAATGGAGACGCTCTTCATAAGGTTTAAATTCGAGTCCTCGAACTGATTTCGTGACTCGCTGTTGGATACGCTCCAGGGTGTCCTTATCCTTTTGGAGTGAGGGAGGAAGTACTATGTTTCCGTACTCTAAATGGGGACGGATGAAACTATTGAAGATTATATGGAAAGTTCTTCCGTCAAACTGGCCAAAAATGCACTTCAATGTTACCAGTGCATGGTTTGCTCGAAAGGCATTTTTGTCACAGTTAGCATAAGACTTTAAATCGTGGGGCACCAGAACTCCCAAATCTTTTTCGACTTGGGATACTATTAGAGAGGATTTCCTCAAGTTATAACTGTAGTCTGCGACATGTCGCAGATGGACTTCTTTACACTTCGAAGTGTTAAAGGTAAGTCCGTTATTGTCTGGCCAACTTTGAAGTCGAGTCAGATCCTCCTGAAGTGCCTGTATATCGTCTTGGTCGCGTATCTCTCTCCAAAGTTTCACGTCGTCGGCAAAAAGTAATAAGTCTGACATTGCCTGTTGAGGAAGATCATTTATGTAAATCAAGAAGTGAAGAGGCCCTATTACTGAGCCCTGGGGGACCCCACTAGGACATTCCATAGCCTGCGATAAAGTGACATTAACCCTAACCTTAAAGTGTCGATTTTTCAGGTATGAAGTAAGCCAATTCATTAGAGGTGGTCTGATACCTAGTCGTTTGGGCTTGTCGATAAGACATGTATGGTTAACCTTATCAAAAGCTTTTGAGAAATCTAGGTAGATGATATCAACCTTTCCCTTGTGATCGAGGATGCTTATCCATCTGTCCGCCGCAGTCAGCAGGTTGGTTATACAAAAGTAACCCTTCCTGAAACCATGCTGTTGGGGTGAAAAGAAATTTAAGGACAGTAAATAATCATTTATACCATCGCACATCATTAACTCCATGATTTTTGAAGGTATTGAGAGAAGAGCCACCGGTCGGTAACTTGAAGGTTCGAAGAGTCGACCTCCTTTGATAATTGGTGTGATGTGAGCCAGCTTCCAATTTTCCGGCAGTTTTCCTCGGCTTAGCGAGTGTGAGAACATCACGCTAAGCGGCGTTGCCAGGATTGAGGCTGCTTCTCTCAGTATGGCAGAATGAACCATATCCGGGCCAGGAGAAGTGTCAATTCTTAAGTGCTGCAGTTTCCGGAACACCAAGTCAGCGCTCAGGTTCAATTCGGAAAGTCCTTTGGAGCCGCAGATGAAGCTTTCGTCATTACTGTTTATGTGCGTCAGTTGAAATTTCCGAGAGTATTGTTCAGCCAAAAGCTTAGCAGCGTCGCCGTCGTCGTTGGTCTGACCGTTAGGACCTAGCAGTTTGGAAACTCCAGTTTTGGCTTGACGAAGAGTGGCTGCTTAACGGAATAAGCTTTTACGATTAGAGATAAATTTATCCACAAGCTTTGTCTGATACTGAAGCCTATCTTCTCTTATAGCCTTCGTGCATATGTTCCTTATATGTTTGTATTGCCTGTACGCTCCGTTGTTGTCAGTTCGTTTGTACTCCGCCCAACAGTGACTTTTGCGGCTTAGCAGGCGAAGAGCGGGGTTCTTGATGATTGTAGGTTGCTTGTAGCTATTGGGGATCGTTTGAGGAACTGACTGCTTTGTAGCACAAGAGCATGCGCAGTAAGAAATCCCATGGCTCAGAATCGATCACAATGGCGTCGGTGTACACACTCCCTGTCTTCTCTTAAACTAAGAGATTAAAATCACTTCATATCTTTCTTTCTACCAACTAATTCCTTCTTCCTGTACTATATCCTTATATGTAATCTTTCTTTTATATATTACCACCTCTGAACTAACTACTTTTATTAATCCGGTGTCCATCTTGTTGTGTTAATGAGGTATGGCAGCTTGGACCGATGCATATATGTGCCTGGTCCTACGTTGTAGCTGACTGACTGCACATCAAGTTGAGGGTGAACATCCCAATCCACCTGTTTTAGATAGTCCTGTAGAGTTGACACATTCAACCATTTGAAATTCCGGCGCAAATTGTTGATAGGATATCTTAGTTCACTTTTGCTGACAAAACTGATGGCTATGACGGCGTGATCGCTCTTCCCCAGAGGAGCCGCGATTGAGGGGTTATCAACTAGGAATTCTTCGTTTGTAAATACACAGTCTAAGCGCGATGGTGTCTGACTGTTTCTCCAACAAATTGCCGACTTTACATTTTCGTATAATCCCAAGTCCTCAATGAGGTTGAAGTACCGAGCTTCAGTTGAGTTTTCACCTCCAATGTACGTATGTTCAACGAAGTTGACTCCAGGGAGATTGAAATCTCTTAGAATTAGGATATGAGTGAAACCGAGACGAGTAGAGCGGGATGGTCCTTCCAGCATACGACTGTGGGCTTCCTATATATGACTCCGACTAGACACCTCGAAGTAGCAGACAATCTTACGGAGCAACATATGGATTCCTCAAGATTGTTAAACTCGAGGTTATGAACTTGGTGTACCTCCAAGCAAGATCGTATGTACATGGCTACTCCACCCGAAATTCCTGATTTTCTGTCGTTGCGAAACAAAGACATCCCAGGTACTGCTAACTCCTGGTCCGAGAACTGAGATGTCTAAGTTTCAGTTATTCCTGTCAGATGAGCCTTATGAGTACTGCTAATTTCACGTAGCTCGTCCATTTCGTTTGATAGACTCGCGGCGTTCATATATAAGCAGTTTATGCTCTCGATTTGAAACGCGTGAGCTTCGACCTGTTTGTCTGTATGAGCCTTACGTGAATGGACAGGTAGCCTACTTATATATATATTGTTTGCCGAGTTGGTAGGCCCTGTCCTTTACACGTTTTTTTTATCATCGAGACAGTCCACAAGTGGAATGGTCAGCTCAAATTTGCTTTTGTGCTTGGTCCTAGCTTCATAAGGCCAATCCGGGCGCATGAGGATTCCAGCTGGCAACCGACGTCTGTTGGCACGAAAAGCCTCCAGAGTTGAAGCCGCCATGTGGGAGGATGGGAAAGTTATCTTCATTAGCCAGGGTTTGGAATCATCGTCCTTCTTGGCTAGTCTCGTCACGTGTTGAGTCAGTCTGTTTTTGAGCCTCAAGGACTGTATGATGAATTTCCGTTCCCTGATATCGGAGTTTGCTTGATTAGGGTCCGTGTTTTCCGGTACACCTTGCACAATTATATTCCTTCCGCGAAAAAACTTCTCGCGAGATTCTTTGGGGGTGTTCCGGATGAGATTGCGTTCAGAATACGGTATGTCAGGCATCATTATTACGTTCCCATCTGATTTCAGTGAATGACTCGCTAGCAAGACATCCTCTACGTCGATAGCATTCTTAAGCGTTACGCGAAGTAGCCTCGGGTTGATGCTTAGATTCCTTTCTTCGAGTGAGCCGTGTGACTATCAAAGACTCTATTCTTGAGAGTTCAAGTTTCTTGTTCAATTCTCCACAGAGCATCCTATCATTTTTGTCCTGCAAACTGAGAGGAAGGTCAGGGTTGGCTTTGAGGTTCATGATTATGAGAGAGTCATCGCGAACCGTTATTGTCGTCTTAGGTTTTCCGGTGCGCTCAGATTTAGCACGTAGTTGTTTGGAGGTTGGAGCACGTTTATGAATCTCAGGCTCTTTGATGACCGGACGGACATTCTTGGGGGTAGATTATGCGACCAGATCACCAGCTGATTTCCGTACAACAGCTGGGATATTCGACTTAGAATGTGACGCCTGGTTTTATTAAGTACGGAAACAGGTAAGTTGTTTCCTGTCTTTGAGTCAACATGTTTAATAGCCGTTTTTGTTATACGTCTCTAAGCAGAAAGTCGGCTCAAGGTCGTAACAATCCGGCGGTAAGTTAAATCAAGGTGGTTTCGGAGACAGTTTCTATCTTGTCTTGATTGTTATTGAGAACTTGCTTTAACCTCAATATTCTTTCATTTTTCTGTTGTTATTAGTTGCTTTGATTGTAATTGATCGACAAACATATTTATTTGTCGCCCGATGTCATGATGTTGAGAAATTTCGGCGAGACTACCCGAGCTCCCAATTTCGGGGAAATGGCACAAAACCCTCAAAATTTCACAAAGGTTGGGGACTTTCCCAAAATTTCTCATAAATTGGGAGCTTGGGTATAATTTATGGACCAAATAATCTCATATAAGATAACGAGTCACGAATTCGGGCGCAAAATTCATCCATGCATTTGGCTAGAGTTCTGACATTATAACCGATGTCAGTTCGTGATGAAAACCGTAAATCTAATTTTCAACTCTAACCATCAACTGTAAATGAGATGTGCAGCTGCTTTATAACCCTTATTTAGTCTTAATTAGTAGTTTCCTCTCAGGGTCACTTCAGCGTCGCTCAAAGGTCGTCCATAAATTTTAGTCTAACCACAAAATCTACAATAAGTAGTGGGGATGACAAACATTTACTTCCATACAGTACTATATGGAAATTCACAGGAAAGCTTTAAAAATGGTGGATGAATAATCCAAGATGATCTAAATTTCAGTAGATTGAGCACCCAATAGTTGTGTTGATTCTAAAATGTTCATGCTAGTAGAAATAGTAATATACGAAATTTTATAGGGATATATCCCTATAAAATTCAGTGAAGAAAATCTTTTCAACGTAATCATTTACTTAAGCTGTATATATAGTTATATATGGAAAATGTATGTCTATAGGAGGATAGAAAAAATTGCATCACCAAAATGGATTCGAGGATAAATAACAAATGAGGTTACGTGTACTAATCAAGGGGTTAGATAATGGTTCAGTTGACAAATATGAAGAAAAGCGACAAACACAAAGGTCATAATAATAGACTGAATAATAATCAAGAAAACTTGTATGAGGTAATAATAATAGTAACTGATTAGAGTTTAAAATGCAAAATAGTGATTTTGAAAACTCGATAATAATCAAATAGAAGTGCAGAAAGACAAAAACAAAAACATACCCATTAAGGGAATTAGGGCCAAGGAAGGATGAGAGGTTGGATATATCGTTTCTGCACGCAAAGTTTGGGCTTGAGTTCGTGAATTGCCAATGCCCCAGCGGTGCATAGAATATTGATTCGACACCCCTTCGATCCAATTCCTTCGACTCTGTAAATCACTTTAAAAGAATACTTGGGAGCGGTGTGTCCATAATTGATTAAATGCTTCTGTATAGAACTAATGATTGTCTTACATTCTCCTTTTTAACAAGCCAAGCCGGATAGTGTTCTGAGATGCGTTTGGAAAGTGACCACTTTGTTCGGTCTATATATCGAAATGAATAAATGTGACAGTTGCATGTACCAAAGTAGTATTACTATCTAACGTACCTAGTGTTTCTGCTGTGCATATAAATTCGGGTAATGTATCTTAGAACTAACCCATTTGACTGGTGACCCTGTATCTGAATTAAGTAGTCTTAAATTACTATTCCCTGTGGTTCATATGTTTTTCACCTAAATTTAGATCACAAACAAATTTCCAGTGGGAAGCTTGTAAATACATTTAAATAAGCTCGTTCATTGTAATTTACATAGCTGAGTTCCCAACTTTTTAAAGTCAGTTTTTTTATATCCATTTCTTTTGCTGTCTCTAATCGTTCTGCACTTTTATTCGCAGACTATACTTTTGTCAGTACAGCTCTAGTTGTCGATCAAACATCTCAACTAGCGTTTGGAGATTATTTACAATAATGCACCTCAAACGAAGTATGTTGCTTTTAGATGCCCTTACAGTGGTTTAACTTTCTGATAACTGGCAGGAATTGATTTCTAAATTATCATATACGTATTATTTTATTATTTCCAAACTTTGTAAGGATGACAAACAAACATATATAAATCGAAACATTATTTTGGCCGTTTGATGTGAGTAAACATTCTACTCGAAGTTGCATTTAGCAATGAAGTTACAAGTAACTATTGATACGGAGCTGTAATTCAGGTTATGAGCAGCTTTTTACAGAAGTGATGGTTAACTACACTATTAACCGAGTATTTCCAATAGTCGCAGGAAGATAGGGTTAGTGGTTCGTAAGCTGTAGCTAGTTGCAAGGTGATATTTTTAAGGACAACATAATTACACCACCAATGCTTACATCGTGGCGCATATATATTGGCGCTCTCTTGTACCAATATTTATGTGTTCAAATAAATAAATAAAAATACATCGTTTAACCTTGCTTCCAAAATTCGATCCGCAAGAAATTTGAAAAGGAATGACGGTGTACAATTTTTCGTGACTACACTACTGGTTCTCAACAGTGGGAAGAAGTAGCTACATTTTTCATCATACGTAATGCATTTTTAAGGACGTTGATAGACATTGTAAGAAAATTCCCCCAAACTTTATAGTTTTAGAATATGATCTTGTTGGATTATGTGTAGTCACTCTTGATTCTGGGAAATATAACTATCGGTCTATAATTTTTCGATTTTCAAGCATATTGCACAAAGTAAATAGGTAATCGCCACATCCATGATTTAAAAAACCTAACCGACTCATTCATAGTCAATTTCTCATGTATTCAGATTAATCAATACTATATGAAGGAGACCCCCTAGTTTTAACACAAAAGCAGACTTGAGATCCAATTATCCTCACACAAATCACATAGTTCATCTTTAAAAGTGTATAGTACAAAGGTCCATCATCTCATTTTGACGAACCTTCCTGAAAAACTTTATTCATTCATAAAGCCAGTTATGCAGCCTAAAGTCTTTTACTCAGACTTCCAGGAAAATTTAGAGGGCGTCGATACCCTTATTATCAATCTTACCAAGACCAAGTATCTTAACTATTGTGTCTTGCGTAATATAAATCGGCTATAGTCAGTTCCTAGACGTAACTCCTGCTTTCATCTTGGTTGTGTTTTGCTCATCAACTTTCTGGATTACTTTATATGATTGGTTAGATCTTTTGCATGAAAAATCATACACGTTTTTGCCGGACTGGGTTGCCTTGTAATAAACTCAATAGAACCTACTGTTCACAAGTGAAACAGTTCTCAAATCTTAGTTTCGTAAAAGCCAAAACCACTAAAAGTGAGTGGTTCCGTTGTATTTCAAGCGCCGTTTAATCATAACACCAGGTTCTGAGACAATATTGAAGGTACAAACAAAGAAGATTACTGAGATCCAGCCAACAGTTAGTAATCATATGCTTAATTCATATTTTTGTCTTCTCGATACTCCCGTTAAATGATATGGAACCCCACAACTAGACTTAAATTTTCAGTGAGCTAAGTTTAATCAACATAGGTTACTTGTTGGTCCTGCTGTTAACCAACAGTACTGTAAAAACATTCCTAAAACTCTTTGAAGTCGTCCAGTTTCTATGTAAACGACCTCCGTTTAGGTGATGAAGTTCCAGTTGTCAACCACACATCAGAAGTGCTGCAGATATACAGATAAATAGAATGCCCAAAAATACACTATTCCACTTTGTATTACCAAAATAGATACTGACAAAAATAACTTTTTAACTGCATTCATATCCTCTTTTTTAACAGATGACCCTAAACCACTGATTGATCCTAATCGCCTAACTCTCATTGGATTCAGATTTTGCCCTTATGTTGATCGTGTCAGACTAATATTGAGTTACTACAAGATTGAGTAAGTTTAATATCCGTATAAGACATTTGTTTCTCTTTGATTATAGTAAAATCTATTCGACACTTAAAATTCACCTCAATGTAAACGAAATTGCCTTCTATCACACCATTGGCCCATAATTTAACGTCAACAGTCAACACTACGCAGTTGGAGGTACGTCTGTGTAGCTAATACATTGACTTAGTTGAGATGACTTAAAAGCTGTCAAGCTATTTTTAAATGAAGATATTATTGGTTATGTTAGTCTAACGTTCTCCTTTGCCTACCATATCAAGGTAATCAACGGTCGGCCAGTCAGTTATAAGCAACGTAGAAGCTAGCACATACGTGCATCCATCCAAGTTGTCACACCACACCAAAATAACCAAATAAATTTACTAAGACAAACACCAGAGTAGTAGAAACAGTATCAGTGGTAATGCGAAACATTGAACACAGAGAATATGATTCGAGAAGAGAGAGTGAATTCATAGAATAAAGACTATAAGATACTTTCAAAGCTCAAGATCTAAGGCAAGACGAAGAGTGAACTAATCTACACCACAATTGTAACTGATTCTGAGATATTTCATTCAAAATCTCCAACGATTGGTTATGATAATCGCGTGGCTCGCAACCAGACAGTCTGCACCCACCAATACATTTCAGTCGAACAGTAAGGGACTTCATGGAATGATACATTATCTTGGTTCGGGCATGTCTAACTTTCTCACAATCTACTCCTACACTAGCGATCAATGCTCGTTGAGTGTGGTGGTGGTTTTGATGGTTGGAGATACGTAGTACATATCTCAACCATCTCAGTTGATGAAGATTTACCATCTCTTTAGTAGATTAACCACTTTTGCTTATTATCGTGCATCTTATTTCAGCTTTGTCCACTTGATGATCCCAACATAGGGGAGTAATGATTTGATGGTACACATGAACAAATAAACTTGTCTACCATTATGTACTATTTAAATTTGTGTTAATTCTGCTTCGGTTATTTATTTACTCTGAAGAAGTAAATTAGATTAGTTCACGAAACGTCAGAGATACAAATTTTTATTGATTGGAATATCGCAAAAAATATATTTATTATACTTAGTACTATTTTAACGACACATTTTGTGCTACCACGTCAGTTCAGTTCGAATAATTAATAACTAACCATGATCACACAGAAACTATGGTTTCAACAAGGCTACATTTCGTCATTGAATTGTATACCATAAAAAGAATTTAATAACCGATAGTTGTACAGTTATCATTCATTACGGCTTGTTTAGTACTAGCAGTAGTCGCTCGTTAAAAAAAGTTTTCCTTTGGTAATTTATTTGAAATGAACAATTGTTTAACTAAAGACAATTACGAAAAAACAATCATTACTATCCTGTAGTCGGACTAGTAATACGAAATTCCCCCTTATTTTACTCAACATCCTTAGATTCTCTAAATTTAACAATCACAACTGTTAATCCCTTAGTTGTCCAAACCAGATACCCTTATTGCTTAGTATTTTTCGGGCACTTTGCTTCACTCGACTAGTCTCTCAAATCAGAACACAGCTTGGACAGGTACATAATTATATTCCAAATAAATCAAGTTAAATTAAAGTGAGTCACAGTAAGAAAAAGGTTAGTATATTGATAATTTTACACTAGTAGATTCATGAGTCTACTCCGATTATCCTCCAGCTCTAGTTGACTGATAATCACCCAATCAGTTTGTTTCAACATAATCCTTCATGTTAACAATAACATAGTGTGTAAGCATTTAATGTAGATGTGATAAGTAAATAAATACATTCACTAGAATTCAAGTCACGTTTATTTTATTGTAAATACAAATTAACGGTGAGGCCTGTATTCTAAAACTACTTAATTTATGATGAAACTTTTTCGTTTAGAAAATAGATTAATTACATGACAGACGTACAGCGTTGAATGTATATAAAACATAAACCTATCTACCAATAACGAAGCCTTCAAATGCCCTTGTACGACCGAGAGTGGGGAGATTCAGCTCTCCCTTTCAAAATGCTTTCACATGGCCACGTGCATACAACTACAGACAGGGAAGTTCTCGTGGCGGGGGTATTGTTTACGGAATTGAGACGACGAAAAGTGTATATCCGGTGATTTAACCGGTTTGGTGGACGCGGAAAGTCTACCTAGGGCAGTTGGAAGACCATGATTCCAAACCAAATGGAGTATGAACCTATTGTTGGTCACCGGGTACCATGTGACTGCATCTCCTGACGTTGCTCCACTCCCTTTTGGGTCAGACTTTTAGGTCTAAGGTTCGGGGTGTGGCCCCCTAAGAAAACCACGTGCTTCGGTTTGAGCACCTGGGCAGTATCCCAGCCCACACACAAATCGAATGATTTATGTAGCATACATCTATTTGTTGCCTCCTTGTACCAATGTTTATGTACTTAAATATATAAGAAGCGACGGCGGCAAGTTTATTCATTTCAGACAGTATCTTCTAAAGCATTATCAGTGCTATAGTAAATAAAATAGTTTACAACCTTCAGTCAAAATATCCATTTCCAAATAAATGCTTTCTGATAAAATAATCATTTTGTAATTAGATACTTACTTATCAATACTGAAGTCATTTTAGGTGTTCAACTTCCAACTTATCGTCTATATGCTTTGCATGCAGACTTTCTAGTTCCAAGATTACGCCATTAGCCATCAAATAGTAGTTTGTTTGTCGTTTATTCATTTAAACACATAAACATTGGTACAATGAAGCACCAGAGATATATGCGCCACATAAATCATTCGATTTGTATGAAGGCTGGGTTATTGCCCGGACGCCCAAACTGAAGCAGGTAGTTTTCTTGGGTCACTACCCGAGATTTTGACCTAGAGGTCTAATCCACATGATAGTGGAGCAACGTCAGGAGATGCAGTCCCATGGTCGCCGGTGACTAACAATAGGTTCGTACTCCATTTGTTCTCTAATGATCCTGGAGTGCATGTGCACCATTGGTTTGGAATCAGGGTCTTCCAACTGCCCTAGGTGAATCCTCAATATCCACCAACTCGGTTAAAGTGCCGGACATTCGCTTTTCATCCTTTCAATTTCGTGGACAACAGTAACGCCACAAGAAGGCAATGAGTAGGACTTCCCTGTCAGTGGTTGTATGCACGTGGCTATGTGAGAGCATTTGAAGGTAAAGTTCGAGCTCATCCAGGATCATAATACAATTACAATATGTTTGTTATTTTGATCATGATAACCTATAATACTCATGTATATTTGTAAATTTTTATTAGTATTAATCAGTATGACATAAACTGGATAAATTAATCATGTCATTGAGTGTAAATATATAATCATATTAGTTTACATTATATAATTAATGCATTACTATTGACCTTAATTTATGATAAATAGTGAATGATAATGAATTATGTTAGAAATAATTTATCGAAATTGTTATGGTTATCATACAGTTTACAGATTCTATTTCATATATATAACAACTTCAATGAATTTGAAATGATAAGTTGTTTTCTGTCCAGAATAGTTTACAACCTATTAGATATTAGGAATAATATAGAGTTGTTCATGAATATTCTTTGTTTTTCTATAAGATATTAATATGAATTTTGAGTTAGTTTCTAACTATTGTACTACATTTCATATTAATCCAACTTAGTAGTACTTCCTTCCATTTTATCGACTTAGAATACACAGATGAGATAGTCCTGTTTGGTGAAGATGCTGATTAAATGCAGAGTGTTTTGATAGCACTGAACAACAATGCCAGAATGTTTGGGATGCGCTTCTTCTACCTCTAAATGCAAATTGTTGCTTCAGGACTGACCTGCGTCAACACCTAAACTATGATAATAGGGAGTGAAGTAGTCGAACGCGTTGACAACTCCACTTATCTTGGAAGTTTAGTCAGCCCAAATGGGTTGGTGTTTGACGAAATCTTAGCACGAATTCGAAAAGCTCGTTTGCCTTTTGCTAACTTACATCACCTATGGCAAAGGAGAGATATCTGTTTATCAATCAAGGGACGAGTATACTACGCAGCAGTTCGTTCTGTTCTACTTTACAGCTGTGAAACGTGGCCATTGAGAGAAGATACTCGTAACCTACTAGTATTTGACCACAGGTGCCTTAGAAATATTGCTGGGATCACTGGGTAGGTAATAGTGAGGTAAGATAGATACAGAGTATTAGGGAGTGATGGTAAATCAGTTGATGAGTTTGTCAATCTTCGTCGACTGAGATGGTTGGGCCACGCGTTACGTATATCTGGACACCGATTACCACGGTGTGCAATGCTGACTAGTGTTGAGGTTGGTTGGAAGACATTTAGAGGCGGCCAAACCAAAATGTGGCATCAGTGCTTAAAGTCACCAACTTCTTGTCTGAGCCATGTTGGTAGATGGAGACTACTTGGTTAGGGTCCGTGTGACTATCATAATCAATGGTTGGAGACTCTGTGTGACATAGTTCAGAATCGATCACAATGGTGTAGGTGTATACACTCTCTGTCTTCCCTTAAACTGTGAGATTAAAATCGCTTCATATCATTCTTTCTACGAACTGATTCTTCATTCCTGTACTATATCCTTATATGCAATCTTTCTTTTATATATTACCACTATTGAATTAACTACTTCTATGATTTCGGTGTTCATCTTATTGTGCTAATGAGGTGTGATCACTTGGAACGATGTATATATATGCCTGGTCCTACGTTGTAGCTGACTGACCCCTTGTATCACTAACAACATAAATCAATGCAATCAATCTGGATTTTCTATGTATACATACATTAACTTTCCAGGTATACTTCAAGTAATAGGGTTATTAGTTCAGGTCGAATTCAGGACATGTAAAGCATAATCACGTAAAATGGCAATATACAGATTCGATCAATATATATGATTAGCGTTTTCTAGTATCACAAACATTTCTGCTCAGAAATGCTATTCTAAACGAGATTTTCAGAAAAATACTTCAGATATTGTGTTTATTCATTGCAACGGACATTTCTTAAGGCTATTTTTCTTCCTCGACTTTAGTTTCACATTCTAAACTTCTAACGATATTCTCATCAATACATAAGCGTTTCACAGTTTCCTGTTCAAGTGAGTTTCGATTGATCCGGAATTGTATAGCAATGAAAAGTGTGTTATGAATATTTGTACATACTCAATATTTCCGGGCACTAAATATAATCATATTCCTTAGTATAAAGTTGGCCCTTAATGCCTTCAATCTAAAATGGTCCCATGACAACATCATCCAGTAAATATCGTACAATAAGTCTTGTTTTAAAAAAAAATGAATTGCTAGTGGTGGAGTCATAGCTTGTATTAATTTGGTAGAATAACTATGTCAAGAGGTGTTTGTCGATGTTGTTCAGTTTTCTCACTTTTATTCAGCATTCTCACGGATATGTTTTTAGATTAAAAACTTCGTTTAATACTTTAAGGAATAATCTACTGTTTGGAGTTTTGTTCTAAATATGTGCCGACGTTAGATTCTTCTTGGATGAATATGCTAATTAAAAAATGAAGTAGCTGTTTTAGGTCGTGAAACGTTGTTAAAGTAGGTGTTTTCTTTACGAGTACTTAATTATAGATATGTTCAAAGAATTTACAACATTATCATAAACTGAGTAGTTAGTTGAAATATCCTAACCAACTATGGCTTAGTAGTTAAAATACTTATTCTTCGCTACTAGTTTGTGACTCTGAACCCTACTTTGCTTACGTTTATTTGGGCACTTGAATAGTAACACTTGTGCCCACATAAATAATGTGACTGAAAACCTAATAAATAGATGTGTACTTGGTAAATGAGTTAGGTTACCATAATGAAGATTAGTTAAAATTATGGAAATCTGTTGACTTTTTATCCTCAAATTTTGAAGTATATTTCACCGTTTTGAAAGACTATTCTCAGTGCTTAGCTATGAAAATTGATAAGGAACATGTTCTTCAGATGATACCTCTTAGTGATTGGTGACTGGGAAGGTTGTGACGAGGTACTGAGGGACAATTGCTTCCTTTAAAGCTGGTTGTGTGCTTTAATGATGTTCAGTCGATAGGAAACCTTACTTAACCTAGGTTTTGTGCTAATCGATACTCGTCAGAAACGTGTATCTATAATCATGGGGGGGGATTAATGCTTTCTGGCGAATTCTTCGATCTCGTGTCACCCAGCTTCATAGTTTGTTATTGTTATATCCGTGTCGCTTATTACTTATACTTCAAGAGGAGAGCGAGAAACCACTGCAATTTCAACGATGTGAAGTAAGAACATCAAAACTGTTACAAGTGTTATCCACTGAGCTACTGAGTACTGATAGTCACCTGCTTGTGCAATGGAATGAAGTTAAATTCACTTGGTGTTGTTTTTACTTGTAACTTCCCTGACGAGTCATAAATAGGACGAAACGCGCGTCTTGGATTCCACTGCTAGCCACTATCCATCTTTCTTTAGTTAATGGTTATTTCAAAAACTATACTTTTAACTGTCTTGTCTTATAATGTCAATTCCTTGGAGGAAGTGGAGCAGAATTAATATTATGATAGACAATGTTTCGATTCATTAAAGGGTAAGTAACCTACTTAGATTGATTCCATCAAATCACCCATCCTGTTTAGTTTGTGTTAATGTTTTGCACGTGAGCATGTTATTCGATTGTATAGAAAACCCTCTATTTTGTTTGTCAGCTGCCTTATCCCATGATATCAGTTGACCTGGAGACTTAAGTCAAAAAACTTTAGTTATGTATCATTACATATTATCAATCACCTGATCTTATCATTTGACTTCATTAGTCCAACAATATCTAAATATCCTTTAACAATCTTAATCCATAACATAAACTTGTTTGTCATTGTTTTATTTCATCTGTAATGAATATGATGTTGTTACTCTCTCTCTCTCTCTCTTTCCCATCTCAACACAGTTATGATCTTATCAATGTTTCATTGGCTTCAAAACCTGAATGGTTTTTAGAAATGTATCCAATTGGCAAAGTTCCATTATTATTATTACCAAATGAACAAAAATTACCAGAATCCGATGAGATTATACGTCATATAGATAAATTATATGGTTCTGAAACTTTATTATCCCATTGTGGTATTGAAGAATTTGAAAAAGCTAAAGAACTTATTACTGGTGTAAGTGTTGAATAGTTTTATTATTTAATTAATATTGACATAGAAGAAGTATCAGTAGTTGCATTTTCTTTTATTATCTACCTTTAAAATGGGAATAATCGATTTATAATTATATTCATTATATTCTTTGTTTATTGTACAACAGTAGGTTATTATATGATGTAATAAAATGAAGAATGGCACGGCTGAGAGTGGGGAGAGTCAGCTCTCTTTCTCTCGAAATGCTCTTACATGGCCACGTGCATACAACCACTGCTAGGGAAGTTCTACTCACTGCCTTCTCACAGCGGAGGTGTTGTTTAAGAAATTGAAAGGAGAAAAAGCGAAGGTTCGGAGCTTTAACCGGGTTGGTGAATACGGAGCATCCATCTAAGGGAGTTGGAAAACCTTTATTCCAAACCAATGGTGCATGTGGTCTTCAGGATCCTAAGGTAACATATGGCGTATGAACCTATTGTCGGTCACCGGCTACCATGGGACCGTATCTCCTAATGTTGGTCCACTGCCTTGTGGATTAGACTTTTAAGTCGAAGGTTCCGGGTGTGGCCCCCCAAGAAAACCACGTAATTCGGTTCGAGCGCCCAGGTAGTATCACACCCCACACACAAATCGAATGATTTGTGTTGCGCACATCTATTCGGTGCCTTGTATCAATGTTTTCGTGTTTAAATAATAATAATAATAATAATAATAATAATAATAATAATGGCAACGATCTAAACTACCTTATGGACTGTTATGTATATTCTTATTATATAATTATCAGAAAACTGAACTAATATTTTTTCTATATTCCGTTTATTATAGGCTTCCACTTGACCCACTAACTATGACTGTACGTTTTATTATTATTGCTAAACAACTAACTACACCTTGCCCGATTCACTGTCACAGTTAACCTGTTTGTGTATAACTATAATTTTCTATTTAATAGTGTGATGTAGTCCGGTATGTTTGTATATAAACTCATATATACTTGAAATATGAATAATGGAAGCTTGGTTGCTACTTCCCCTAATTTTTGTGTGTGAGGCCACGAATTGACGGTCCGATAGTTTATTAAAATGTGCCGTTGGTCAATGTTTATGGCAATAGGTTATAGACGGAATAGCGTGCTTAATGTAGGGAAATTACAATCGGGATTGTAATTGACCAATTTAACACACCGCGTAAATCATGTTCAATATTTAACAATGATTTCTCTTTCTTTATCAAATGCGTAGCTAGAAATTGGATATCAATTTATTATTTATTTACTTAAATACACAAATATCGGTACAAAGCGACACCAGAATATATATTCACGGTAGGAAATTTGTGTGTGCGTGTGTGTGCTGGAATACTTGTCATGTGCTAAAACTGAACCAGGTGATCTTCTTAAAGGGCCATTACTCAAGCCTTTTACATAGAGATCTAATCTACAAGGCAATGGAGAACGTTAGGAGATATAGTCCCATGGTAGCCGAAGACCAACAGTAGGTTCATGCGCCATATGTTACCTTAGGATCCTGGAACCCATGTGTACCATTTGTTTGAAATGAGGTTTTTCCAATTCCCCCAAGTGGATGCTCCGTATTCACCAGCTCGGTTCGTGGACTGGGTGTCCACTTTTCGTCCTCTGAATTTTGCAAACGACATCTCTGTTACGAGAAAGCAATGTGTAGGACTTCCCTGGTGGTGGTATGTATCACATAAATCGATAATCATTGTTGTTATCATTTGTTAAAACACTAAGAATTCTGTTTATCCTCATAACTTCTATAGTATTTTTTATGTCTTTAATAGTGTTGATGTATTAATGTAAGCTTGTATCATGAGACTTAAATATACTTACCTATTGTTATGTTTGAAACTTCATGAGTTCGCTTAACTGCGAACGAGAACAATACTCAGTGACCAAAGACCAGTGATCTAACTATTGACGCGTCCCAGCCCCGCTATTTAGAAGAAGAAGTCCAGGCTTGGTATGGAAAATATATTCTGCAACAGCCAGAAGCGAGCGAGCAAGCAAGCGAGCAGCAAGCAAGCAAGCACTATATATATATAATCGATATTGTCATAGAAAATTTTTTAAACACTAATCAATGAGTTCATAAATTGACCTGTTTGCACATTGAATCGATAGTTCATCTATTGACCTATTTACACATCTAATTGATAGATTCATCAACTGATTGCTATTCAACCATTTAACCGATCAGTTCATCAATTGACCCCAATACAAATATTTAAACATTTAATCAATAAGTTGATCGATGCGATAAAATTTAAAAGTATGAGTTTGGGGATCTATCGTCCCCAACACCTATACCTGTGCAAATTTACCTAATGCCTGACGACAGATTCTCTTAAACCATCTTTTTGAGTCAAACAACGTACTTATTTAGTAAAAAAAATACCATCAATGGCCTAGTTAATATGTATTGTTAATACAATCAAATGATAATCATGTTTGGTTATTTCATTCATGAACGATTACGACAATACATTGTAATTTACGTCAAAAAGTCAGTGTCATCATCAGTTCTAAGATGGATGTCTCCTCTGTGTTCTATCCATCAATCTATCTTTTTGTAATTGGTATTATATAATTTATAGCATTCATATTCCAATGTTTAGAATTTCATTTTGTGACATGGCTCAGAATCGATCGATCACAATGGCATCGGTGTATACACTCGCTGTCTTCCCTTAAACTAAGAGATTGAAATCGCTTCATATCATTCTTTCTACGAACTAATTCTTTCTTCTTGTACTATATCCTTATATGTAATCTTTCTTTTATATATTACCACCATTGAATTAACTACTTTTATGAATCCGGTATTCATCTTGTTGTGTTAATGAGGTATGGCAACTTGAACCGATGCATATATGTGCCTGGTCCTACGTTGTAACTGACTGACTGAATTACTTTACTGCATTTATTGTTTTCGTTTTGTGTTGGTAACATCATCAATCAATGTAAAATATAAAACCATTGTACAGTTTATTATAACCATTCAAATGAATTCTTCATTTATATTGGACCGAGGTATTAGGTTCATTTAAGGTAGAAAAAAATATCTTCAACACTTTGCTAAAACCACTATGTAATCGTTAATATGTCTCAATCCTATGAGAGGTCAATCATGGTCATTTTACCTCAATGTTAATATCTTTGATTTTGAAGCTAGATGACATGTGATAGAATTTACCATAGACTGTCAGTTCCCTCAGTATTACTGGTGGTGCTGAATAACACGAAACCTCGGTTTAGCAATGTATCCTGTCGACTACATCCAACCATCATTTTACAATCGATTTTAGAAGAAATGATTTTTTCGAAAACTATTTACTGATCAACCGGATCCAGTACAATTTAGTGAAAAACAATGTTAATAGTACCATTTGATTTCTAAACATAATTTCTTTTAATAACTCTACTATATTTTCAGAATATATTTGATCTACTGATGTAAGGATATGATAAAATCCAGTGTATTTAACAAGAATGGGATACAAGTTTATCAATAACAAGAGTTCTAAAGATTATATTCATGCATGAAATTATCGGCAACAAGAGAATATTAATAGATGGGGGTTTTGTAGATATTTTAGTAGTTTTATGGTTGAATTCATGAGTTAATTAAAGCTAAGCTACCATGGCGAACCTGAGAACACTGGACGGCTGTTTTGTTCTAGTATGGGGCTCCTTAGCAGTGCTCACCCACGAACCTATGAGTCTCGTGCGAAAGCACTTAACCTTTAAACCACTGAGCCGGCATTCGACAGTGACAACGTCTAACTTCATTCAATCCACGAAGTTGAGACACCGTCAACAATTGTCTTCAGTGAGTTACTATCTCACAACAGACCCAGTTGAACTCCACTAGTCACTGTTTCTCACTAGAAATCCAGGAAATACCTCTTGAAGACCGTCACTAATGAGCATATGATGATTATTATCAGAGGGGGGTTTCGTGGAGATTTTGGTTATAGTTGAATTCATAAGCCAATTGAAGCGCACTGCTGAGGAGTCCCATACTAGAACAAAACAGTGCTTCCAGGTTTTCCATGGTGGTCTAGCTTCAATTGACTCATGAATTCAACTATAAAAAAGGGATAGTTTAGATTGATTTTGATGAATAGAGGTGACATTATCTTCACACGCATAATGGTACTTGTTTGTGCGTAACACAAACATTTGTCTACGTAGAAATTTAAGGCTTATAGAACCATAACGAGGCTGAATGATATTGATGTTTGTAACAAAGGTACCTATAGATAACTATTCCGTCGAGAATATCAACAGAGATCATTCAAACAGTTATTAATATTAGTCTAAATATTGTACCCGTTACACAAGTGAGTGGCTATGTGGAGTCGTCAATTTAACGGGTAATGCGTTCGTTGTTTCAGACGAAAGATGTTGATTTCAAACTCCAATCTGAACATCAACATTGGAGTACAGGTACAGTTAGCTAAAGAGTCTCAGCTAGAATGAAATGTGTGTCCTGGATTCCACTGCTAGCCACCATTCACCTCTGCTACGAGTGAAATGTATCAAATTCATTGTCAATGACAGAGGTGCATTCACTGTTAGTCTTTTCTTAGATCTTAACTTCAAAATTCCTCACAACCTTTTTTTATTAATTCACCAAGTTATATTTTCTTCTTGAATTGTATCTTGGATGTATAATCTTTTCTATTACCATTATTACTGTTACTAACTCCACTGCTCTGGGATTTGCCCTGACAAATCTATCTTTCTGTGGAGATTGGGTATAGCAACTTGAACTGATGTATGCATGTTTCAGGTTCTAAATTGTGTCTGGTTAACTGATTGAGAGCCTTGGTGAGGAACTAATTGACAAATGGTATTTATTCGCTAAACATGTGAGGAACATCAATTTGTTGTTTGATGGAAAATTATAGAGTTATTTAGTAAAATATAAAAACTGAACTTCATTGTTCCTTCACTGATGTTACTCTCTGTTTACATTCCCGTTCTCTTCAATTCGATGTTCTTAACCTCCTGCTGTAAGGCATTCCACTTCTGATTGTTGTTACATACCACTTATGTTGATGGACATAAGTAGCATACACCACATCAATAGTTTATTTAAACACATAAGCATTAATACAATGAGGCACCAAATACATATGCGCCACACTTCGTCATTCGATTTGTATGAAAGCTGGATTACTGTTCGGACGCTGAAACTGAGACAGGTGGTTTTCATGGTGAACCACTCCTCGAGCTTTTGACCTACAGGTCTAATCCACAAGACAGTGGTGGAGCAAGTTTAGTAGGTACACTCCCATGGTCGACGGTGACCAACAATATGTTCATATTCCATTCGTTCTCTGAGAATGCTGGAACCCACGTGCACCATTGGTTTTAAATGAGGGTTTTCTAACTCCTTTAGATGAATGTTCCGTATCCACTAACCCGGTTATAGCGTCGGACGTGCGCTTTTCGTGGCCATGTGAGAGCATTTGGAGAGGGAGAGATGACGCTCCCCACCCTCGACCGTACCATAACATAACTTTTATTTATCCACGATAGTTTTACTTAATGAATATATATATCTATCCTTTGTATTTATATAGATATCGAGACCAAGTTATATGATTATGTGTGTGCAAGAAATAAATCTATGTGATGTATCATTGTATCGAGCAGCATGCAATAAGATAAATGACGCTATCAAAGGTCCATATTTTACTGGTAATTCAATTTATTTATTTTAATGATAAATATGTATTAGATTATGGTTACAATAGTTAGTAATGACCACTAATCTTCTATATTATTATTATTATTATTATTATTATTATTATTATTATTATTATTATTATTATTAGCTTTGTTCAATATTATATTATTGGTACAATATCGAATTCTCAGCACAAAGTATTTCAACAAGTTTCCGTTTCTTTCTTCTTGGTCGGTCCTCGCGATAAATACTGAGTGATCGCCAGCTAGATGTTAACAGTCCAGTAAATGAATATCTGAATAATGTACATTCTTTTCGTTGTATATTGCCAGCAACAATATTCTCTCTTTTTGAGCTTTTTGTAACTTTGACAACGAAAGGTTGTACACTTTTCAGAAACGCAGCAGAATAGGTTGTGCGATTAATAGACATAATGATATATTAAAACAAACAAAGAAGCAGATAACTTGTCGAAATATCTAGATGACAGGAACAGGTAGCCCAGATGCTCAAGCAGGCCGCCAGTAGTGGCCTATTGTGAATCTCACAATGTATTGCCCCATTCCATGACAGATAGATCGTTCATTCAACTTCACTGAAGTTGACAACTGAAGTGAATCAGGATATCTTTGCTTACTGTGAATGTGATCAGTTGTCTTTGTATGAAATTATATGAATGACGACACATTACTTCATTTGTTAGTTGATTTTGATATTGATGTTTTTGTGTTAGTGGAAATTTAATAAGATTCTCACTACTTTTATCAGATTTCTAAGGATTTGAGAGCAAATGAACTGAGATCGGATTTAAACGGCGCAATTTATTGTGAATCATGTAAAAATTGTTTTTTATATTTTGATTCACACTGACCTCCATGAACATTCATCTGTAAGCGTTATATTACTTTTCATTTGTACCCAATTATCACTATGCCAACACAGAAGTTTGCTGTAAACTATCATAATAAATTACTTACGCATGTTACACGTCACGGAGGAGCAACGGCCGCTCACTAGCACTCTCTATCCAACCCTTTCCTCAGCAGTCCTTTCCAGTTGTTTACAGTTCCTATTCATCCTTGTCACCTTCACCATGAGGCGTCATTATCCTTGCGAAAGAAAATCCTTCAATTCTCACTCAGAGTTTAAATAGTTTAATTTGTTTAGTCTGGTTGGCATTCTTCAGCGAGGTTTGTTCCTCGAGATTCGGTTGCTGACACCTTTGCTAGCTCTTCTCCTTCACTCGACTTTGAGGACGGCAGCAACTCTAGACGAGCTACAGCCGTATTTTAATCTATCATAGTGATCTAATACATCTTTCTCACAGTCTGCATTATTCATTTTTTCCATGTGTGTAATGTGAACTGACCAAATTGTCATCGGAGTGTTGAGGAAGATTGTCCGAAGTAAAATCAAAACGGTTTTCGTTATCTCACTACTCAAACGTTGATGTTTATGTAAAATCAAACGTCAGTCAGGTGTATACACATCATGAAGCGAAATTGCATTATCACATTTGATAAAGATTCGCATTGGAAATTCATCCTGGAAATGTCTAGTGTTTGTGGTTGAGTGTTTCGAATAATAGAAAACTGAGGTTGTCTGGAATGAAATAAAAGTAACTGTGTCTTCAAATAATTGCAACTTTTAATTTACCTCCAACAATTCAATAAGTTACATTGGATTTGAGATCCTTTAAGTTTGGTCATATTTTCTAATTGTATTTTGTTGCTAGGTTACAATCTTCATCAAAAAAAGAAAGAAAACAAACTTATCCCATATTCACTTAGCATTCTAATCAAATATTATAAGTTATAGGAGGGCTGTTGAAGACTTGTTAAATTTTATAGTTTACCTTTCGTTAGACAATCACTGAAACCGTGAAACACTGGATAGCCGTTTTGACCTAGTATCAATCAGTCACTGATCTTAAGTGATGTTAGAGGTATGATGGCGGTTATCAGTTCCCGGTTGCTCACACTGTGGAAGGGTTCTTCTGGAAGTACCTGAAAATGAAATTGAATTAAAGGTTTTCTTGGTGACCTGAGGGCGTGACTGCAGTGCCCAAGGGACAACTGCATGAGGTCGGTCACATACGACCTTTTTGTGAGTAATTTCCATGTTAGCCCCATTCTTGTTGAGACCTTACCGCCGGAGACGGGTATCCGTTGGATAAGACGAGGTGTGCATTTTTAGGGTCGATCTTTTCTAACCCCGCCCCTCCTTGTGAGAAGGCAGCATCATTGTTATGCTAGTTGACCTAATATAATACTTCCCAAGATGTACATGCATGAATTCGATAAGAATCGAATCCAACACCTTCAGGTCTCACAACAAGTGTTTAATCTTTCAATCTGTGATCTAATAGTGCCATCTCCTAGACTTAAAAGTCTTGTATGTTCGATACTCGATGGAGTCTTGATGATTTTCATCTGTGCTAATGATAATAAACCCTTTTATATTGTTCAGTTCTTGTGGTTATTTCACATTACACATAAAGAAAATAAATGTCCAAGTGATGTTTAGTTGTAATGCGATCTACTGGATCGAAGTTAAAATATTTATGAATTTTACAGTGGATTGAGTTTGATTTAATTTTCAAAACAATGCGACACAATGAAGTAAAGGTTTGTCTCAATCCATATCAATCTTTCATTATATTATACTTTCAAACAGAACTGATCTTGAGATGGTGGAGAAAATTTGTAGCTCAGATGGATGATTTTGATGGAGTTTTGTAGTCTGAGTTGGATGGTTTGATTGTGGAGCTTTCATTGGTCATCTGAACAATATCATGAGCAATAGGAGATACAACCAAAACAAAGAAGTAAATAATAATAGGTTTAAGGTCAACAAGAACCAATCAACATCGAGATCTACAAGACAAGCTGTGAACCATATGTGGTGAAATTCGAACACTTCACATCTACCTAAAGTTTGTGCTGATGATGTCGTTCAGAAGAACCGATGAAAGGTGCACGATCAAACCATTTAGCTCAAAGAACAAAACTCCATCAAAATAGAACTGATCTTAAATGGAATATTATTGAAAACCAATTACTATTAGCCTCATAAAAGGCATAATACCTTTTAGTTATTAAGTTACAATAGGATGTACTCCATATGTGTTCGAAAGAGACCTGGGAAACAGTGAAACAAGGTTCTGTTTATATTACCTGATAATTTAAACTTTAAATCTGTAAAAATTACATCACTAAACGCCTACGGTTTTTTAATGCTTTGATCACTCCATCCAACAGATACTAACTTGATCTGAGCTTATGCTACACATTTTTAGCGAATCCAATTTTATGATTCTCTTGTGAAATTATGATAAGTAGTTGGTTTCCAAGTTCTTAAATTAGTAGGATACTTAGTTAACAGCTTTAAATAAGTATATTTGTTTATCAAATCATTACTCCCCTATGTTGGGATCATCAAGTGGACAAAGCTGAAATAAGATGCACGATAATAAGTAAAAGTGGTTAATCTACTAAAGAGATGGTAAACCTTTATCAACTGAGATGGTTGGAATATATATTACGTATCTCTAACCATCACAACCACCACCATACTGGTGTTAGGAGTAGGTTGTGAGAAAGCTACTCATGCCCGAACCAAGACAATGTATCATTCCATGAAGTCCCTTACTATTCGATCAAGATGTGTTGGTGGGTGCAGGCTGTCTGTGCGTGGTCCACACGATTATCATAACCAATCGTTGGAGATTTTGATTGAAATGTTTCAGAATTGGTTACATTTGTGTTGTAGATGAGTTCACTCTTCGGCTTGCCTTAGATCTTCACCTTTGAAAGTATCTTATACGCCCTATTCTACGAATTCAGGTCTATTCTGTGCAATTTATTTAATACTTTTATCGAATAGCATTTCGTTGACCTGTTTATTAGGCCAATAAATAACTAGTTTATCAGAGGTTCTGGAGTCAATATATTTCTTTAGATATAACTGTATTATCACGCTATACGCAGATGTTATTTTCGAAAATCATCGTTCCCACACTTCTAAATCAGTTTCCAGATTCTTGTCTTATTCGTTACGTGTTTGTAGTTTATAAAAAAATTGGTAATCATCATTTTCTCTGTTTAGTCAAGCTGTGGGAATATTACAATTTAGATTGTGTTTCGTCATAATATTTACATCTTAGTCTAAACTATTATTTGTACAGTATAACCTAGTCAATATCCAAGGATTCTTGCCTTATCATAGAGATTTTCATTCGTCTTCCAATCGAATTACTTTTTCTCTCAAATAGTATTTTTTTTTCTTTTTAGGTCCTGAATTAAGTCTAGCCGATTTGATCTTGTTCCCACATTTGCATCGATTCGAAGTAGTTATGGGTCGAATAACCGGTAAAAAACCAGAAGAAATCAATGAACTAAATATAAATGATGAATTACGTAAAGAATTCCCAAAATTGACTGAATTTTTAGATACAATGCGTAAACAACCATTTGTGATTGATGTTACTATCCCATATCGTATTCATGTTGAATATGCGGCTTCAGTACTTTCAGGTCATGCTAATCCAGACATAGAATAGTTTCTAATTATTTCTTTATAATAATTCATTTTGTTTATTTAAAGACGATATTAATTTTATTGAATATCATGATATGATTGTTAAGAAAATGATTATCATCGTATTATAGTACAATTATAAATAATTGACTAGTTATGTTATTTATCTTTCTATAAACGATAAATTCGATGATGGTATATCGTAGGTAAACATCATCATCATCATCTTTTGTTTCCATTATTTTATTCCTTGTAAAATGATTTTCTTTTAGATGTTATTTACTATTAATGTATGTCGTCGATTGGTAGTATAATCATACTCACAGTTACTGCATCTAATGAATAAAAATTCCTGAGTGTAACATATGGTAAATGTTAGTTCCAATCAATAGTATGACTCCTAAATGCCCTGGTACGGCCGAGAGTGGGGAGAGTCCGCTTTCCCTCTTGAAACGCTTTTACATCGCCACGCGTATATAGCCTCTGTCAGGGAAGTCCTACTCACTGCGTTCTCGTGGTGTTACTGTTGTTTACAAAATTCAGAGGACGAAAAGCGAATGTCCGGCGCTTCAACCAGGTTGGTGGACACGGAGATTCCACCTAGGGGAGTTGGAAAACCCTGACTCCAAACCAGTGGTGCACACGGGCTGTAGTATCCTGAGGCAGCGAATGGCGTATGAGCCAATCGTTGGTCACCGGCTACCATGGGACTGCTTCTCCTGACGTTGCTCCGCTGGGTTGTGGATCAGACCTATAGAAAACCATGTGCTTCGGTTTGGGCACCCGGTCAGTATCACAGCCCTCAAACAAATCAAATGAGATTTGTGTGGCGCATATGTATCTAGTACCACTATCTATGTGTTCGTATAAATACAATAAAATAGGAGATTAAACATATTTAAGCGAGACTATAATTTACGGACGAACCAATCACGTATAAGATAACAAGTCTCAGATTTTGGCGCGAAATTCACTCATCTATTTGGTCAAATAGCGTCTTGGCATCATAGTGATGTCAGTTCGCGATGAAAATCCTAAATCTGATTTCTAACCTTAATCATCAACTGTAAATCATAATTCTAATTCCTCACTCGTTTATAACACTCACTTGGTCGTAGCTATTAGATGGACATCCTCAAGGTCAGTTTAGCGTCGCTCAGAAGTCAATAAATTACAGTCTCACTCAAATTTACAACAATTTATCTGTTTAGGATGTGTTGTAGCTACGAAAAGAATTCGTGATGCGTGTTTCGTCCTGTTTAGTACTCGTCAGCCGGATCTACTTGCATCCTAGTATTGGTTGTTTACACTGGGACTTAAAACTAGTGCTTTTTATTTCAAATGGCCAATGCGTTATCCACTAGGCTGATGATTGCAGATAACCATTCACTTGTGAAATGATTATGATGTTTAGACCATTATGAATATTGGGCTTAAGTCATCCCGTCGTTGATATTAATGACTGAGTTTGATCAGTCTTTGTTTTCATAAATACATGTATCCTGTACTGATCGGACTTGATATAACCATTGTGTCACAAGTTACTTAGAATAGGTGTATGGAAATCGACAATACGTTAGCTTAAACTCCTACTGATAAATAACGTATGTCTGCTGGTATTTTTCCGGCTTATGAAACTGATCAAGTATTTCAATATAGGAGTCTGTTTAAACATTTCACGTCACCTTAGCACTTCTTATAGTGACATCGGTCAGATGAATTTAGCGACCAATATATATCATGTCGTAATAAACACTACCATTATATTCCTATGGAGATATTCCTTTAGGCCTACGTTATCAGATGTTTCGAATAATTATTTATTTTCGTTCAGAACCCAACACAATTGGTAATCCAGGTAGCCGAGTTCCTTGAAATATGTTCCTTATCTACTCATCTGTTTTATTTTTAAATCTTAGGATAGTGTCAGCATATAAGTACGGAAAAAAGCTGCTTATGAAATATTACATCTTATTTCCTTGGTCAGCCCTAATGGGTTGGTGTTTGACGAAATCTCAACACGAATTCGAAAAGCTCGTTTGGCTTTCGTCAACTTACGTCACCTATGGCGAAGGCGAGATATCCATCTATCGATTAAGGGACGAGTATACTGCGCAACAGTTCGTCCTGTTCTACTTTACAGCTGCGAAACGTAGCCATTAAGAGTAGAAGATACTCAGATGTCTTAGGAATATTGCTCGCATCTGCTGAGATCACAACGTAAGTAATAGTGAGGTTACACAGATACAGGGTATTAGAGAATGATTGTAAAGTAGTTGATAAGATTGTCAATCTTCATCGACTGAGATGGTTGGGCCACGTGTTACGCATGCCCAATCACCGATTACCACGACGCGCAATGCTGACTGGTTGGAAGAAAGTTAGGGGCGGCCAAACCAAAACGTGGCATCAGTGCTTAAAGTCACTAACTTCTAGTCTGAGCCATGTTGGTAGATGGAGGCTACTTGGTTAGGGTCCGTGTGACTATCATAATCAATGGTTGGAGACTGTGTGACATAGTTCAGAATCGATCACAATGGTGTAGGTGTATACACTCTCTGTCTTCCCTTAAACTGTGAGATTAAAATCGCTTCATATCTTCCTTTCTACGTACTAATTCTTTCTTCCTGTACTATATCCTTATTGCAATCTTTATTTTATATATTACCACCACTGAATTAACTACTTCTATGAATTCGGTGTTCATGTTGTTGTGCTAATGAGGTATGGCAACTTGGACCGATGCATATATGTGCTTGGTCCTATGTTGTAATTGACTGATTCCCTTGATCATATTCATAAAAAAATTTTGTACGATAAGATTCTCTGAATAAATTAAATCAGATCTGTGGACTAAAACTTCAATTTTTACTCAATTAGATCATAGTTTTTAATCTAAGATTTAGGTTATCGGATTATAATATCATTGAATTGGATTCCTGTAACAACCACTTTAAAACACTTATAACATAGTATCTTCTATTCACAACGTTAATATCATGCATTATTCGGTGAAGAAGAAAAGAAAACAAAACAAGAAAGAAATATTAGTTACAGTAGAAATTATATTTACAAATACATTGTATAGTTGATTCATAGAGAATGTAATATTCACTATGTATGTACATTAGAAACAATTTGTGATACCATTGCATCAAGTAAACTTAAAGCTTCTTCATAAATACTTTCATGTTTTGTATTCTCTGTGATGTTTATATTATTGTCATTGGATTCTTGTAATTTGATCATATCAAGAAAATTTTGAATTGAGATATGTAAAGATGATCCATTAGTTTTGTCGATTTCAGAATGTGTTTGACCAGTATAGATAGCAAATATACTAGGCTCATTAGAACTATGCTTTTTAGTATAAAGCTTTGGATGAGTTACATCTATTGCAAATGTGATTACTGTGAAACGTATAAAAGAAAAGAAAATACGATTTATTAGTAGACGCATTCTTTTTTTAAAGTAGCGTAATTTATACTTATTTTTGTGGAGATCCAAAAAGCTGATTAGGTGACCGCAAGTTCTTGCGTACAAACTCATATGAAATTTTTTGTAAGCGAATAATGGACGTATATATATATTGTTTTATTTAAACATAAATATTGATACAATAAGGCACCAAATATCTATGCGCCATATTTTGTCATTCAATTTGTATGAAGGCTGGATTACTGTTCCGGGGCACCGAAACTGAGGCAGGTGTTTTTCCATAGGGTGGTGAAGCAACTGTAGGAGGTGCAGTCCCACGGTCGATATTGACTAACAATAGGTTCATATCCCATTCGTTCCCTGGGAATGCTGGAACCCATGTGCACCATTGGTATGGAATTAGGGTTTTCCAATTTCCCTAGATGGATCTTCCGTACCCACCACCAATCGGGTTAAAGCACCGGACATTTGTTTTTCTTCGTGTCAATTCCCTAAACAATACCGTTGCTGCAAAAACTGGAGTAGAACCTCCCTGGTAGTGGAATATAATCGGATCTTCATTGCCCCTCAACAAAATACATTGGTTTGTGTATTCCGTTGACTATTCATTTATGTAACAACATGTACACAAAGCACTGAAAAGATGTACATATTGGACTATCTACTATAAAAAAGCTGAGATCCCATAACAATTTAGTTTTATTGACAGTAATTTAGTGAATAATTTGATCTATGAGCGTATGTCCTACACACAATCAATAGAATAACTATTCCAGACAAGCAAACATAATATGTTCATTTTCTAAAACAAGTCTGATAGATTTAGTTACTTCTTTCACGATACAGATATCCACATATTTGTAATGCTGACAATATATCTATTAATGAACATGAAATATATTTGACTTTCTCATGTACCAGCACCAGTAAAATGAGTGAGTTAGTTTTCTAAGGGATGGGGTCGCTAACCCTATGCCCGACCCTCCATTATCCGGGCTTGGGACCGGCAGTAGCCCCAGATGGAACCCAGGTAGAGTTCAGCACCAGTAATGAGGCAACTATAATTACTAAAAATTGGAATGACTGTGAGTATATGATCAAAAGCAAAGCATCAATACTATTTATAACTTTATATTATGGAAATAATGCATAGAACATGACTTATTTCGCTTATCTGCCCCCAAATGTCCTGGTACGGGCGAGAGTGGGGAGAGTCTGCTCTCCGCCTCCAAATGCTCTCATATGGTCGCGTGCATACAATCATTGCCGGGAAAGTCCTACTCACTGCCCTCTCGCGGCATTACTGTTGTTTACAAAATTGAGAGGACGGAAAACGAATGTCTGACTCTTTAACCAGGTTGGCGGACACGGAGAGTACACCTATGGGAGTTGGAAAACCCTCATTCCAAACCAATGATGCATATAGGCTCCAGTATCCTGAGGGAGCGAATGGCATATGAACCAATCGTTGATCACCGGCTTCCATGGGACTGCTTTTCCTGACGTTGCTCGATTGCCTTGTGGATCAGACTTTTAGGTCAAAGGCTCCGGGTGTGGCTCCCTAAGAAAACCACGTGCTCCTGTTTGGGTACCCGCGCAGTAGCCCAGCCCTTGCACAAATCGGATGATCTATGTAGCGTATATCTATCTGTTTCCTCCTTGTATTAATGTTTATGTGTTTAAAATCTTTGGTAATATGAAATGATTAAGAATAAATAACTTACAAGCATTTTGGATTGTATGACATACTGATGCAATTGTTGCCCGTAGTGGTAAACCAGACAAAAGAAGAGCTAATGAAATTGCGTTTATGGCTGCAGCCACTGTTCTAGGATGATTAGTGCCACCAGTGACAATAAACAAACGTCCAGTAAACTAGATGACAAAAGAAATGACTAATAAACTATATAGGGATAATACAAATAAAAGATAAACTTTACTCCTTCGGTAAGAAAGCACAATCTACTTTTAAAGAAAAAAAATAAAACAGTACATTGTAGTGGAAAAAAGGAATAAGTGAAAAGTCATGATATAAAATAGTTTTATGAACTGATTACTACTATTAGTTTTCTATCTAAGGAAAAATATTAATGCTGATTTACCATAGTATATGTGAAAAGGACTTATCAGTTGTGCGGTGTTCTCATCACAAGGTTTTAAACATTTATTAAGGAACTCTAATACGCGTTTATATAAGAAAACTATCTGGGAAACCAACATTTTATTTGGGCATAAATTTTTACACTTATAACTTAAAAAACAAAGAATCCTTTGAATTAATTGCTACTTCGACCACGTAGTTTTTGGTAAACGACCCAGTGCCTCCAGGTTTTCAATAGTGGTCTAACATTGATAGGTTTATGATCTCAATTGAAACTCGACAATCTCTACAAACCTATACTGAGAACAATTCTTCCTCCCAATATATACATCTAGAAACTTAACTAATCCTCATGCTGATAGATACAGCATCTATTTTCTTGTTATATATAATTTTGTTCCTTTTTAACCGAACTACACACTATTCATATTTATCTTGTTTAACAAGAAATTCATGTTTTGTTCTATTTATTAAGTTATTACATATAAATAGTCCCGATTAGTTCTGGTTGATGTAAAGCTGTGGAAATGAAATAGCAATTCACTTACAATAATTTTTCCACTATTATTTTGACAAGTCCTACTTTAGTTATATCTGAGACAAGCAAATTATTACTTTATCATGAAACGTTAGTTAATCCACGAAATCAATGTTGGGGTGCACGCTGAATATAAAATACCAACTTCAACTTAGTCACTAAACGAATGACAAAAGTTTTGGAATTTTTATACGATTGTATCAATAGACTGTGAATAGAAATCTCATGACAAAGTGTTATTTCAAAATGGAGTTACATTTTATTTTCAAAAGTGAAAATACTAGGATGAAAAATAACGATATTATAACAATTTAACCTCAGTCAGTCAGTCAGTACCAACGCAGAACTTCGTACGTACGTACATCAGTTCGAGTTGCCACACCACATTAGCACAGAGATGCAGTGGTCGATTCAAATCCCGTAGTGCTAGATGTAGTAAGATTATAAGCTGTAATCAGAAAAATAGGGTTTGAAGATGTTATTCAAGGACTATAATCCAGTGAAATAAGTTTGGAAAGAGAAAAAAGAAAGGGACATGAAGAAATCAGAAGATTAGAATCTGGGAGAACACAAAGAGTGGATGCACCTGCGCCATTGCAAACGATTTTGAGCCGTCATTCAAGGTCTCTAACCATTGGTTGCTTTCATCTCGCGGTCCCCAACCAGGTAGTCTACACCTACCAACATGGCTCAGTCCACTTGTCAATGACTTCATGAACTTGTGCCATGTTTTGGTCTGGCCGTCCGTAGCTTTCTTCTCAATTTAACCTAAAATATGTAATAATTACAAAGGTAAACAAACTTGAAGTTACACTTTGTAAAGTGGTGACTTCAATGGATAACGTTTATTACAAATGTCTCTTAAGATGTATAAAGGATACCAACCTAATTTCCCCAAAATTATAAAGGTAATATATATAATGACATGATCTCGTTACGATCATTAAAATTATTTTAGCAAAGCAGTACTGTAAACTTCGAGAGTTTCGTACTATGCAGCACAAGATCTCAATTAAACGGAATATTTTCAATTCAGGAACTGTCACACTCATAGCGCTAACCTTAGATCGTGGGAACTCCTTCACATCAATCAGACGTTCCAAAAGATTGTTAAGGTAAACTTCAAGCTCTGATTCCTTTGATGTTCGTTGTCCAGTACGAGGTGTAACTGTGACGTCAACATATGCACGATGAGTAAGTTCGTCATGGATCTTAGCTTCATCTGGGCCGTATATGGAAAAAACTACATGATGTCCAGCAAAATCCCATGTCGCTGATCCTACAGCATTACAATCAGTATTCGTCTCAATAAACAAGCTTGTCGAATCCACCATCTTTACGTACTATCCTGTGGATAACAAGCAACACAAATACATTTAGGAATTACTATTAGGGAAGTCGTACATACTGTTAATCCATAAATAATGAAAACCAGTAAAGGAATGTGTGGAGATGTAGCTTAACGGACTGGACCTTTCGACTATTAGATTTGCCGCTTGCCACACACTATATATTTAGTCTCAGGCAGCTAAGCATCACTAAGGGTAAAATGGAAAGTTAAGGTAGATACTTCTTAAGCTCGACATCAATGATCATGAGTTATAAGCCGCAAATATCACTTACTTGATCCTGTGCTTTTATCACAATAAATTCTAAATGTTTGCGGTAACGACATTGATCATATTATCTTCTACTATGAATTCACAGAACGGACAAATAGTGTCACCTAAACTATGAGAAAGTACATTATCAGGAAACATTACGGGAAATTTACTGT